TAGGGAAATAAGACATTTGGGCCAAAATTAAAAAGAAAAAAAAAAGACAGAGGCCCATCAGCCCATCAGCTAGCGGTCCGCCAAGCCAAGCCGAGCCAAGTGGAGCTGCGCCAGCCTCACCAAAGCTGCCACTTGTCGCAGTCTGGTGCGCCACAGATCTGTGGGACCCAACTGTCCCCTTGCACACGCGTGTTTGATGCACACTGCTTCCCCCCCCCCCAAGGCAAGTGCCTTCCACGAGCGCGTCAGGCATGTTTTCTTTCTTCTTCTGCATGGGTCCCGCCGTGCAATAGTTCTCCCATCAGCGTGCGCCACATGTCCATAAGGGACCTAGCTATCGGCCATTCTTCCTCTCAGCCACTCAACGCGTGCCACGTGTCATGTCTGAAGCAGTTTTTATCCTGCATTTTCCAAGCGTCAGTCCTAGACGAATCTTAGCGTGCCATGTGGCATTTTCATTCCCTGCTCGAGCCGTTCATGCATAATACTTTGGATTATTCATCAGTTTGTATCTGTTTGTGATAGTTTTTCTTCCCACCATAATCAGCTTTTACTCACCAAATAAAGCCTTGTAAATTTCAATTAAATAGGAAAACATTTTTAGTTTTATTTTCTTTATTATTTTTGTTGTTGATTGTAACTTTTGGCATGGCCCAACAACTCTATAAATAGGGCATTTATCAAGGTTATTGGTTGTTGATATTTAGCGTAAGTTTAGATACTCATTTTTGTCTTGCTTTTCTTCTCATATTTTCTCTTTAGAATTATGTTCAAGCTAGGCTAAAGATCTTGGGTGAGACTAGAGATGATCCTATATGTGTAGTAAGCTTGTTTGGGTTTTGATTCTCTAATAGTTTGTAAGTTTTATACATTTGAGTAAATAATTTTCTTTTATCATATTTCTTCCTCATATCAATATATTTTATTGTCAACTTTTATATAAATCTAGTCAAGCTCTTTTTATGTGATTGTTGCATGATACTATATATTAGTAGGAATTATTTTATGAGAAGTCTTTTACTACAATATCACCCCGAGGTATATTGTCGCTTCTCGATTTCTTATGAGATAATTTTTCCCAGTTCTAAACATAAGAATATCTCTTACGTTAAATAATTATTGTCCATAATTGTCCATAACTTGTCTGATTATGAACCATAACTTGACAAATTATTGTCCATAATTGTCCATAACTTGTCTGATTATGAACCATAACTTGACAAATTATTGTCCATAATTGTCCATAACTTGTCTGGCTATGAACCATAACTTGACAAGTTTGTCCATAACTTATCTGGTTATGAACCATAACTTGACAAATTATGACATATTAATTTCTATAACTAAAAATTGACTTATATACTTTCTTAAGCTTTTCATATTGGTCTATTTTTTACTATTTTCTTATTAATTACTCGTATCTTTCTAGCTACTAGACTGATGAGTAATATTGGGCCTAATAAACACTCTAGTGGGCCATTTTAGGCCCATCCAACGAAACCGAAGAGGTGCTACGCAAATTAACCATGTCAATACCTGCCATCAAGTTTTGCCCCGTGAATACAGAGTTTTTGACGCTTTTTAAGGGTTTAGGGCTTTAGGCTCTAGCGCCTCCGTTCCCTATTCAGACTCGGAGAAAAGTTTCTGAGGGACTTTCTTTCGCCAACTTCGCTTACCAATTAGGGTTTGATCTTGATCACTAGGCGGCTAGGGTTTTGACTCTCGCACTAAAATAGACCTACTTTTTATTCTTCTTTTGCACTTTACATATTGATATACACTTCTAATACTAAATTTCAGTATTCCCCTATTTGAGAGTCTCTCTCTCGGATTCCCATTTTGTCAATCATATTCATACATAAACACTACAAACTTTTTCATCAATTCTGGGTTTTCTTTAATTTTTTCCCTTCTGGGTTTTCTTGATTTTCCGCTGAAATTCTTTCCAAGTTCTCCAAACCCAATCCGGGCCTCTTGATTTTCTTGAGTTGAGTGGTTTTTTGCACCAAATACCGATCTGGGTTGTTTATTATTGTTTGAACCGTGGCCATTTTCTCTGATATTCAATCTGGGTTTTCCTTCTACATAGATTTTCTTTTATCAGAAAGTGTTCTGCTTCTTGTTTTCTAGGAGAAGATCATATAGATTATACAGAGAAGAAAAAGATTAAACTGAGTTTAACAGCTTTTGAATTCTGAAACATGAGTTTTTCTGATCCTTCTTCTCCATTTATGCCATCTTTACAGTCTTACATTCCGGGCAGTGATGCCATTAACATCCTGCCTCAATTCTCTATGGACAATGAAGGTCGAAATTCTGATTTCGATCTTCAACCCCCTCCATACAAAAGGGCTAGGAATTCGGAAGAAAACCAATCGAATTCTTTGCCTTTCCTGCCTATGAACACAATAATGATTCCTCCAAATGCCCCGGTCAACAAGGGCACTACCAACATTTTCTTCAAGACTCGCTTGTGCGCCAAATTCAAAATGGGGATGTGTAGGAACGGTGAAAACTGCAACTTTGCTCATGGAAGCGAAGACATGAGGCAACCCCCCGCGAATTGGCAAGAACTCGTTGGATTGCGCGGGGATGAAGACAGGATTTCGTCTGGTAATTGGGACGATGACCAGAAGATAATCCACAGGATGAAGCTGTGCAAGAAGTTTTACAATGGCGAGGAGTGTCCTTATGGGGATAGGTGTAATTTTCTCCATGAGGATCCTTCAAAGTATAGAGATGATTCGGGGAGGTTTAGGGAGAGCTCAGCAATAAGCATTGGAACCTCGGAACCGTCGGGGATTTGTGAAGATAATAAAATGGTTTTGAATGCTGGTTCAGATCCATTAAGAGGAAATGTGAAGCCTGTGTATTGGAAGACAAAGTTGTGTAACAAGTGGGAGCAAACGGGTCACTGCCCTTTCGGTGAAAAATGTCACTTTGCTCATGGGCTTGCAGATACTCAGTCTGCTCTGCATAGTAAGTTGATCGTTTTCTTGTTCTGGTTTGGATTTCAGAATTGATCTAGATGAGCATGATTGAAAAAAAAAAAAAAAAAAAAAAAGAAAGAAGTAATACGTATATCTGTTACGTTAAATAATTATCTTTTGTGCAACTTGTTGGAATTATGTTTAGTTCTGTTGGAGAAAGGTACTAATTTCTAGGACTGGTGTCCTGAAATATTGTTCTGGATAATCCTATTGTCTTTTCAGTTTCTGAATTTGAAAACTTGTACTACTATTATGTTTGTACATTGTAACAATAATTGGCTATAAAGGTAAGTTTGCAAGATAGTTTAGTTAGGTTTAACCATCCAATGTTAGAGAGACGGCCAACATTATATAATCCCAAATTTACAATTTCTTAAGTTACTTTATGAAGAGTTTTAGCAATCCTTGTTCGGAACTTTTAATTGTTATGTTATATGGTATGAATTAAATCCTCGGAATGCCTTGATAGCTACTTTTTGGTTCCTAATTTGGATGTTTACTGATGTCAGAGTTGCAAGCTTCTTCTGGACGAGTTGAAGGAGAAGTGCCGAGTTACGCTTCCATATCGACGAAACCTCAAGTTTCTGCTGGTGATTCACTTCCAAATGCAACAACTGTGGCTGGTTTTAATGAAGATGTGCAGGGTAAGAAGTGCTTGTTAAAGTGGAAAGGACCGAAGAAGATCAATCGCATCTATGCCGATTGGCTCGATGATCTGCCTTTGGTGCACAACCTGCCGAGCAGAGTGGAGAGCTGAGTTGAGTTTCAAACACTAATATGGAGTTCATTTCCCTTGTTGTTCAAGAAATCTCAAAGAATTCTGTTACCATAAGAAAATTTTTGTGTGTTTTCCATGCATTCTCTTTTCTTCTTTTTTGTTAATCAAGTCCTTGAGGTTCTGTTCTTAGTATTGATATTATAATCTTTTTTTTTTTTTTTGCTCACATCTCTTGTGAGATATAGGCTTGCAAATTCGGAACTTTATATATATATATATATATTCAGAGTCAAATAAAGAGGCAAGTGTGGTTATTGAATTGAAGGCGTGTTCTTTGCTTACTTTTCCATTCAAAATGCAGGCCAGCACTGTGATTCAAGTCTTTGTGCGTTGATCTGGTTTTTTTTTTTTTTTTTAACAATTATACTTCAAAACTCTTAATTAAGTAACAAATTTCGTTACAGTGAAAACGGCCTTTGATAGAAAACTGCATATGCATTACATGTATATAACTATTCAAGAGTAATTAAGAAAATTAAACTAATTTATATTTTAATTGAGATAAAAATCTACAAACATACAAATCACATGCAAACTAGAGGATTTTGAGGGACGGGGCGGGAGAATTCGATGGCCTCACGAGGGGTGAGCAACGGGCTTTTGACGGTGCTTTCCTTCCGTTTGTCCCCGTCCCTCTTCTTTTCTTTCTTTTTTTTTTTATCATCATCATCATCATATTATTTTACTAAATTTGGCCAACGAATAATGCTCGCAGTTTTCCATCCAAAATTAGAATGTTACTTTCAATTTAGTCAAATTTACCACTAAATTAAGAATTTCAAGCGACTATTTGTTGAAGTTAAGATATCAAATCAAGCAATTGCTTGTCTATTAAAAGTCTCAGAATTGTAGTAGTAGGCATATTAATATAAAATAGTAGTAAGTACACATAATTTAATACACAGCTAGAGTTATTCAGAAGTGTCCTTTAAAAAAAAAAAAAACGGGCTTTATTCAGAGTTATTCAGTAGTAGGCAATTATCCTTCCAAGTTCGTCACTCAGCTAAAGCACTCAAGACTCAACAATCCTCCTCAACAAACATGTATAGCCAAATCCATGGAATCTATTTCTCGCACACAGCGATTCTACCCACCTCTTCTTTGCCAGAATATCCAACGCCTGTCAAGGACTATGTCCACCCCGGCATCGAGGACTTGATCGATGGCAAAACCTCAGCCCTCAGGAAGAAAACAGATTGCGACGTGTTCTTGAGTTTCAGAGGCGAAGACATGCGCAACTCATTCACCGGCCACCTCTATGCAGCCTTGACGAACGCCGGAATCAACACTTTCATCGACGACCATGAACTTAGGAGAGGAGAAAGTATTAGTAAAGAGCTTGAGCGGAGCAATCGAAAGGTCTAGAATCTCCCTCATCGTTTTCTCCAGTAACCACGTTGATTCCGCCTGGTGCCTTGAGGAGCTGAGCAAGATCATGGAATGCAGACAGATGTCCGTTCCAGTATCCTACGTCGTTGAGCCTTCGGAGGTGAGGAAACAGACCGGTAAGTTTGAGGCAGCGTTGTTAAGACATGAAGCGTGATTTCTCCGGTCAGACTCGAATGAAACTAAAGCAAAGTTGAAACGTTGGAAGTTAGCTCTCACCGAAGCTGCAAAACTGGCAGGCTGTGGAGTTCAAATGTTATTCCGTAATGCTGATTTATTTATCCTTCTAATTATAGACATAATGAGTTTATCATCTATTTCCCAATCCATTGTTTAGAAAACAATTCTTATTTACACCAATCCAATTAATGTTGATATGCATTTATCTGGATTACAGTCATGATGAAAAATTACAGATGCAACGGGTGTCGCTCTTAACAAAAATTTCCTTTTCCTTTTTCGTTTCGTTTTGTTTTTTGAGTTTGTGTTCATAAATGAATATTTCACTTGGCTAAATCAATTAATTGCGCAAATCTACTAGCTATTTTTTTCTCTCGTGCATTTGTTAGGTGATCTTAGACAATGCCCTGTGTATTTATTTTGAAAGAATCTCTTTCCTTAGTATCGAACAATGTCGTGTTTACATGCAGGGGACAATACCTTTTAATCTAAATTTTCTGGTCATTAGAAGTTGTTCCTTTATCCGTTTCAATTTTTATGCTTGCAGAATGAATCTTGATTTAGCTTCGAAAATGTTTTCCAGGAATGACGCAGAACTTATCGAGGCGATCGTAGATTACATTTTAAGAATAACAATGAGCAACACAAACTTACATGTAGCCCCCTGCCCTGTTGGAGTATATTCTCGTGCGCGAGAGCTTAGATCATTATTAAAGCTTGAATTAAATGATCATGAAGTTCATATTGTTGGCCTATGCGTGATGGCTGGAATAGGCAAGACATCCATTGCCAAAGCTCTTTATAACATTGGTCCTCAATTTGGAAGCAATAGAAGCTTTCTTGAAAACGTTAGACAGATTTTGGACCAACCACATGTCGGGTACGTTTGCAGAAACAACTCCTATCTCATATCTTGAACAAGAAAGCAGATCAAGTATATAGTTTTGATAAAGGTTTCCAAGTAATTAAAGATTGTCTTAGTGCCAAAAGGGTACCTGTCATTGTTGATGATGTGGCTGGAAGTCGCGATTGGTTTGGTCCAGGCAGCGTAATTATTATAACAACAAGAAATCAGCAGTTGCTAAAGGAGCTTAATGTTGATGCTACATATATGGTTCTGGAAATGAACGACGTTGAATCTCTTTCTTTTAAAGTCTGCATGCTTTCGGGGAAAGAGAACCGAATGAAGAATACATTGAGCTTAAAGAGTGTCGTAAAGTATTGCAGAGGCATGCCGTTGGCTCTTACGGTTTTAGGTTCATACCTAAAAAGCAGGAGTACTAAATCAATGTGGATAAGTGAATTAGAGAAATTGAAAAGATTCCACATGAGGATGTCCTCAAAAGCTGAGAATAAGTTTTGATGGATTAAGCGATTATACGGTGAAGGACATATTCCTTGATATATCTTGTTTCTTAATTGGCATGGACATGAATTATGTTCAAGACATTTTGGATGGATGCGGTCTTTACACAGAAACTGGACTTCGGCATCTCCTTGAACTATGCCTTATAACTGTGAGTGAGAGAAACAAGATCATGATGCACGATTTGCTTCGAGACATGGGAAGAGCAGTTGTTGAGGAAAATTTGACTAATACACCTGAGAAACGGAGTAGATTGTGGTCGCATGAAGACGTATCTGGGATATTGACAGAGGAGACGGTAAGAGACCTTCTCAATATTCTGTTTCTTTACGTACAAATGACCAAAGGAAAACAATCAACAATATTATATATTTTCCTGTATCTATGAAATATTTTGCTTCATTTATTGTTCTATTGTTCCTTCGAACATGAAAACTCGTACATATGCACACAAGTATAGCATATATAAGTGTACATATAGTTCATTCATTTGCACGCACATACACACAAAAAATTTCAGTTAAACTATCTTTTGTTGTCATCCAAATTTGCTCGTTTTGATCTTTTGCAATTGTTCTTAAAAGATCATTAAACACCATTTGTTCTATGATAAATAAACTATGTCGTTATTGCTTGGTCATTCTCTCCTATGATATTCTCAATTTTAGTTAAATAGCATTACATGCAGCCTCTTTTTCTTATATAGTGCTCTACTATAACAGGGAACTAAAAATATTGAAGGCCTTGCTCTAGATATGAAAAGACTTGAGAACGTTAGTTTCGCTACAAAAGCGTTCGTGAAGATTGTTACAACTCAATTTTGTATGACTCAATGGAAGCTATGAATACCTTTCCAAAAATCTAAGGTGGCTTTGTTGGAATGGATGGATTCCCTTTGAGTTTCATTCCAAGCAACTTTTATCAAGGAAAACTAATTGCTATGAATTTTAAATATAGCAATCTCAGTCGGGTTTGGAAGGATCCTCAGGTACAATAGGATAACATTCCTTTCAAAATTTCGTTATCAGTCTCGTACAGTCCAATATTGTGCTTTGTTATACACCCATATATGCATGCATAAATACATGAATATCCATAGGTAAAACGTACTTATGTATGAATATACATGCATATTGCTCTCAGCAGTATATAAGATGTCTATTCAATCCTTATTTCTCCGTTACAGTTGCTAAAGGAGTTGAAGATCCTCAAGCTAAGGCATTCAAACTACTTATCGAAAACTCCTGATTTTTCGAATCTCCCTAATCATAGGCAATTAATACTCAAATATTGTAAGGGATTATCTGAGGTGCACCATTCAATTGGAAATCTTGAGGGGCTTCTGTTGGTAAATTTTAAAGACTGAAATCCTTAAGAAGTTTCCCCGAAATTTTTGCAAGTTAAGATCACTCAAAACTCTTATTCTTTCTGGGCGTTCAATGTTTGATAACTTAGATGAAGATTTAGGGGAGATGGTATCATTGAAGATTCTTCTTGCAGACAACACAGGGATAAGAGAAGAACCCGAAACAATAGGACGATTGACGAACCTCACAGATTTATCTTTATGCTTGAGAGCATCACCATGTAACTTGGGGACTTTCCACTGGTGGTCTAGTTTGATCGTGCCAAGAAAGAATTCAAAACCCGTGAATCTCTTGCCTCACTCCTTGCATGGCCTAAAGTCCCTAACAATCTCTCATGGACTGCAATTTAACAGATGATGCAATTCCTAAGGACCTTGGCAGCCTATCTTCGTCGCTCGTGACTTTAAGACTAGACAACAATAGTTTTCATATCTTACTGTCGAGTCTTAAAGGTCTTTCTAGGCTCAGAAGCCTGTCCCTGGATAATTTTACGCGGCTTCTATCGATTCTAGTTTCAAGATCTACCAGCAGATTTAAAAGCTCTCCATGCAGCAAGCTGTGTAGCACTGAAAGTAATACCCGATATATCAGAAATGTCAAAACTTGTTTGTTTTGGAACTTGCAAAATGCCATGAACTTGTTGGTATCCCGGGCTTGGATAAATTATTGAGGTCTGTGTCACTGCATTTGCAAAACAAGACTAGTATTGCTACTACTGCAAAGGAGAGCTTCTTACAGGTATATCTTTTTCTCACTTTATTCATAAAATTTATGCATTTTTGCTCATACATATCATGCTCCTCATGCTATAGGTTTCGACTACAACTGTTCATGTATGGTTCCCCAGTACTGCCGATGGTTCTTCCGTATCTTTCGAAGTTCCTCCAGTGGTAGACAGTAGTTTTATGGGTTGTCCAGTGCGTACTGTGTATTCAGATTCTCCTAAACAAGCACTCTTCTCAGCATTTCCAAGTGTTTCCGTGGTCGATAAAACACGAAGGAAAAGTTTTATCTTCGATCTAATTTCGTTGTCCCACCATGGTACAGCTAGTGAAGGCCATATTTGACAGGGACTCGTCTCAAATGATGAGTTAAAGTTGAAGAGCGG